CCGTGTGCTCGCCCGACTCCTCCACCCGCGTCACGGCCAGCGGGTAGCTCTTGCTGATCTTCCTCAGCCCCTCCACCATCTTTGGCAGCTCCGAGGGGTTCAGTGGCTCTGTTGCCACTTTCACCACCGACACTGTGTTGAATTTCAGCGGCGCGATTATAAACACATCCTCATCGTCCTCCTCATCCTCCTCCTCCTCTCCTCCGCCTGCTCCCCACCGGCCTCCTGCTCCCACTCCTCCCTTCTTCCCCCCCGCCTCCTCCTCCTCTTCGTCCTCCGCGCCCCCGTAACCCCCCTGCTGCCCGAACTCCTCACAAAGGGTCGCTGTCTTCGTTATAGACGCGTCCACTCCCTCTATAAGCACCCAGGAGCCAGCTGGAGCGGACGAAATCGGAACCCTGTACCTAGCCTGGTATAGCCACAGCTTTGTGACCACCTTCACTGCCATATCCTCTTCATCATCAGGTGAATACGCCTCTCCTAAAACCCTAACCGTCTGCCCTGTCCTAAGAGTCCCACACATCACTCTCCCCAGTGCGTCGAACGCTGAGCAGTCCGGTTTCGGGTACAGCTTCGTCACATGCACCATCAACGGCCCTCGTCGCTTCGCGCTGCAGGACAGCATCGCAGCCGCCCGTTTGCCCACCAGCGGGCCGGTGTACGTCGTCTGGACCTTCACCGGCGCAGCAGCCTTGGCGGACGGCAAATGTCGGATGATCATATCAGCCAAGCCCCCTGCGCCGCCCCCTAAAACCGCCTGTATAGCCGCCTTGAGCAGTGGCGTCACATTCATTTTGTAGGTGGAGGGACGGAGAGACACTCCAAGCTCGCCTAGAGTAGCCTCTACGCTCTTCTTATGCTCCCCCACCACCTGAGAGTACAGCTTATACAGCGGCTCCAGGACAAATGTCACAAACGTCCGCTCGCCGCCGCCCGCGGGCGGCTTCCTTCGGAAGGACCTGGTGTCGGGGTGGTAGTACAGGTCACCCCACAGCCGCTTTGCCAGCTGTTCCGGATCGAAATTTACCCCGTGTGTTTGGGTGTAAAGCTTGGCAAATGAAAGAAGGGTGAAAGACCAGCCAGCAGTGGCAGAGGCGAAGCAGACGTTCCCAAGGACCGGGTCCAGCTGGGGAGCTTCGGAAGGCATGGCTGCCGAGACGATTGCCGAGCCTGAGCCAGAGGTTCGGGCGGCCATGGCGGCGGGAGCATAGGAGGCGATGAGGGCGTTGACCTCCTCTAAAGTGTGGCGCAGCTTGTGATAGGCGTCTGGAGGAGGCAACTTGAGCTCTGTGATTAGACGGTCCACCTGACAGAGGGGTACCGGAAGGGAGAGAGAGAGGGAGGGGATGGAGGGGAAATGGAAGAGGAGGTGATAAAAAGAGGTGGAGAGGGTCCAAGTGTGTGAAGGTAGCAATAAGAGCAGGGCAGTGGAGGGGCGAGAGGAAGAGAGGGGCGAACAAAAGATAATGAGATTTGAATAAGAAGGAAAGAGAGTGATATAGAAAAATAGGGGCGAGGGCAGATGGGAAGGGTAGGGGAAGCGAGTGGGGAATCAGGCGATGAAAAGGTGAAAGAGGACAAGGGAGCGAAAGGGAGCACGGTGTTTATGCAGAGAATGATGGCCAAACCCCGCTGCAACGCATGCTATATTGGAGTCACCTTTGAGTGTTCTGAAAAAACACTAAAATACGGAGAGAGGGGCAAGAAAGGGAAAGGGCGAAAGGGCGCACCTTGTTGATGCAGAGAGTGATAGCCAGGCCCTGCTGCAACGCGTGCTTCAGCGCTCGCTCCGTGTTCACCTGACCAACAAAGCAACGCAGACGGGGTGGAAAATACAAAGTGAGGAGGAAAGCGAGTGTGACAAGGATATGCACGCACCACTACCAACACTTTGGCTTGCAGGGACTAGAGATTCGTGACTAAGTAATGACTGTGCATCTGACAATCTGAAATCAAGAAACTTACAGCAGGTGGACAAAAAAGGGGGCTCAAATCATACCATGAGCATTTCAACATCCACAGTCAGAACCATAGCCTGAAGCAGTTACTAACTGGCACGGCAGCATCCACGACCAGCAAAACCTCGTCCACAAGCCAACCTTACAACTGCCATTACCTTACCCCTTACCCCCAATAACGAACCTGAACTCTCATGGACACCTTCCATGAATCTTACCATAAGCCATCTACCCGTCAGCAAACCTAACCCTTCCACTGTCCACGTCTCACCAGGGCCCCTTCCACGCCACGGCATCAACGGCCAACACCACCCCATCCGCCAGTCACAACGTGCAACTAGCTTCCCTCTTCACCCAAATACTGAACCATGACTTTCAACCTCACAACCCAATTCCCAGCCAAGGTCTCACCATGACTCCTTCCACGGCGTCAACGACCAGCACCACGCCGTCCGCCAGGCGCATCCCGGCCGTCATCTCATCCGAGAAGTTCACATGCCCGGGCGTGTCCACCACATTGCACAGATACGACTTCCCCGTCGAATCCTCCAGCACGAGCGACATCGGAACCGCCTTGATGCTGATCATCCGCTGCTGTTCATCCACGCGCGTATCTGTGAACCGCATGTGCCGCTGACTCTCCGGATTCAACGTGGCGACGTCAGGATGAGTCGCTTCGACCAGCATATCCATGAGAAGGGTTTTTCCCGCGTGAAGGTGACCAGCTAGAGCGACGTTTCGGACCAGGGTTGGATTTTTCATCAATCCGACGATGAACTCCGTCGAGACGTACGTTGCGAGCACGCCTTTCGATGCCACTTCGAATTTGAACTGCCGGACAGGCTTGACGATCGGCTCTTCTAATGGCTGAGCGTCTTCGTCCTCGACTAGGGTTTCGACGTCCTCGCCGTACACCTCGATCGCCGTCGGGTAGTATTTTTTATCCTCGGCTAATATCACCGCTCCCTCGTTATCCGGCTCCTCTTCGTCTTCTTCCATCCCGATCATCTCGCCTCCTGCTCCTTCGCCGTCTGCTAGTTCCTGTTCCTGCTCATCCTCTTCCTCTTCTTCTTCCTCATCGGACGCGATTTCCGGTCCGATGTAGTTTCCAAACTCGTCGTAAAGGTTCTCGTCCATTGTCGGAGAACGGCTGATCGTAGGACTTCGCAGGTAATAACGGGGAAAGGTTGCACTGTTGGTACAACAAGGTTATAACCCGGAATCGAACAATTCGCAAGCCGGAGGGAATGACCTACGAGATGCAACCTGCGAACCTGCACTAACGAGATCGGAAGGTCAAACTCCGAGCGATGCAGAGGGAATGACCTACGGGAAGGCTAGGTGGTGTGGTGCTGGTCTGAGAAAACCGCTGCTGGTGCTTTGAGGCTGATCATAAGGGAAATGGCATCTAAGGCGCTTGGGTTTGGGTTGGGAGGACTGAAGACTGAGGACGCGCGAGGAGATATAAAACCGCAATGTTATGTAAGAAAATTATGTGGAATGACACCCATATAGTTATTAACGACGCTGCTTTTGGGGGAACATTCTGAACAAATATCTGACGACGAATCAGATGGTTCGTCTGCTTCCACGTGTGCGCGCGTAACTCTCGCGAACGTCGTCATAAAAATAATTGTCCTTCGCGTATCCTTCTGTTTGGAGCGGTTCTTCCCTTCTGCATATTCCTCGCCATTTCACGTAGCCACATTCATCTTGGCGATGTTCGGCTGCCACAGGGGGTGGAAGGGAGGGGATGGGATGGAGCATCAAAACGCCTAGCCACATTCCCCAGCAGAAATGACTTCGTTCTCTTGCGTTGTTGACGGCTTCTAGTTTGTCACTTCGCCGTTTGAGAGTTACGTGACTCGACTTCAGTGCACCATATCCTGAGTTTCTCGTTGCTGCACTGCCTCGTAGCAGCCTTCACTGTGTAGTGAGTCTGCCATGCTCTGCACTGCTCATACCTCCGCACTCGCGATCTTACAAACCAGTCGTCATTCGCTCCTCCACTCGCGACCTGTGTCGTTTACAACCTACGGCTCAAGGCTCATTCACGACACTGAAACTGACGGTTTGAGGGCTACCGCCTTAGCAAGTTTCCAATTTCGTTGTGTCCATGACCGTCAGTCGCGTTGCACCTATGGATTTAAGGGCGGACTCTCCAGCTGCAGCAGACTCAGGAATCCGAGCTCAATCAGCAGCTTCAGCGACGCGATTACAAAATCTTATGGAAGAGGCTCAGGTGCAAAACTCTCAGACACGGGAAGGAGACGGAAGACAAGAAGAACTGGTATTAGTGTACGGACACTTCGCAACGACGAACGCGATCATATGACGTTGACGGAGAAGCTGACGGTTCCCGCCGCAAATGCCGCTCAACCTATATCCGCCGGAAGGACTCACAAAGCGTCGGCACAGGGCTTAAATGAACCGTTTTCTGGCAATTCGAGACGGGAGAGTCAAGGAGGATCAGCAGACAGACGCGTCAGTGGCGTGGTTAACAGCAGTCGTGATGGTGCCACGGGAGAATCTGAAACGAATGACGTCTATGGGAGCAGCAGCAGCAGCCGCAGCAACAACAACAACAACAACAACAATACCCATAGCAGCGACAGCGGAAGTAGCCAAAGCAACCGTAGCGGCAGCAGTGGAAGCACCACGAATGGAGACCCTAGCCCACCTTCAGCTCAGCAGGCGGAGGAACTGGATAGACGAACTCACCAAAGACAGAGGCGTTTCCGCACAGCCAGTCGGCTCGTGCCACCTGTCCCTCCAGGCCACGAGCTGCTGGGCCGATGGCAGGCCACGTCACCCAACGGCAGGGGCGACAGGGGTGGCCCTCTTGTCGAAAACGGAGTGTTTCGGGGCGTAGGGAGCAGTGGCATGAACACACTGAGTGCTATAGATAGCGCCTCTAGCAGCAGAGCTGTTCATGGCAGTAGTCTTTTCGCCGGCACTAGCACCAACACCAACACCAGCACCGACACCAACACCAGCAGCAGTTTCAGCAGCAGCAGAAATGCTAATCCCAGCAGCAGAAGCATGTTCTTATATCTTCCATGGCCGGGAGGGCAGGTGATTATAGAGGGGGACGAGGAGGCAGAAGCGGCAGCAGACGCTGCAGTAGAGGCTGAGTTGCTGGAGAGGAGGCGGAGGAGGCAGCAGACGAAGCGAGTGTATGGGCCGAGGTCAGAGGAGGAGAGGAGGAGGATTAGTGAGGGGTTGAGAGCGTTGGAGAGGAGGACTGGGCGGTTGTCAAGAACTGCTAGAGAGAGGTTTGCGGATCCGGAGAGAAAGGAAAGGTTGCGGGCAGCAATGATGGTGAGCCTGGTGTTATTCTGTGTCAGTTTATGTTCTGCTGCTCAAACATGCTGCATTTTTTGCATCACCTCATAGAGGAAGATGTATGTCTTTTCTTCTTGAGGCGTGCGTCAATGACAATCCATCATACCTATCATCGGTTTGCATCGCGTGTCACCAGGCTGTATTGCACCGAACCAGCCATCTTGAATGAAATATGCACTGTGCATTTACGCTCACGTCTGATGAGAGGTGTATGAGCAGAGTCTTACTACCAGTGCTTGACTTTGTGTTGTCTACTCTTGATGGTTGTATTTCTGCCTTCCCATTGACTGCAAGTCCCTGCCTTGACTTTTCGCCTTCGCTTTCCCCTTTTCACCCTCTGTATTCTCAGAAGGGATACTACGAGAAGAATGCTCCATCCAAGATATCGGCACGGGCCAAGCAGCGCGGTGCTGACCCTGCATTCAGGCAGCTTATCAGCCAAGTAAAGACAGGTGCTGATACGTTGTTACACTACCCCTGTTGTTGGCTTCAATCCCTTGTTTTCCGTGATCTTGCCCGTGCCTAAAATTTCCCTCGTTTTTTCACATTTTTTTTGTGTCATGTGTCTTCCCGTCCTTTCCACCCCTTCCATCCCTTCCATGCCAGGTGTAGCGTTTCATTGTAAAGCTTGTGGGCAGGCTGGCCATCGGAGAAACTTTTGTCCCTCAACAGGGTATGTGAAGCAAGACCGTACAAAAAGAGGTCTGAGGAGGCTCATGGAGTGCTCAAGGTGTGGAGAACTCGGACATAATCGTCGATCTTGCAAGGAGGTCCTCCCTGAGGATGCTATGAAAAGCCAACAGCTTACACCTGCCCTGAGGGCTACAGAGGAGGTGAAAGCAGGGAAGGTGTTGCACAGACTTATCCGGTGCTCTAAGTGTAGCAGTACTGGGCATAATCGGCGCACTTGCGAGCTTCTGGTTAAGCTTAACAGAGAGCCTGTTTGAGTCAAGATGTTTTAACAAACAAGTATATTTGACGTATATTTGCCTCGGAATGTTCTTGTGCCGACGACCTTCTATCGGAGTATTTTACTCGCGAATCCAGTCGTTCCTCTTCGCGCAACCTCAGACCCAAGTGGCGACTTTCGCCTTAACAGTTCCACCCCACCGTTCCTTAGTGTTCTCTTCCCCTGCGAGAGAAATTCGGCACAGCGCTTTATTTTTCTAGGCAATAACCGTCTCCTTGCTTCAGAGGCAGCACGAAAGCACGTGTCCCCGTCCGAGCGAGACAGGGTTCAGTCCGTCGCTGTGCTTTCGATCGAAACGGTGCTTTCCGAGGTTCTATTCTGCCCCTTCTACTTCGGTTTCCAGCAAGACCCCGCCAGCAAGATATGAGTCAGCGAGCTATGCAGTACGGAATGCAGTTCCCATTTCCTTCAAAATCGTTCTTTTAGGAAAGAAGTATATTATCTGTTTTCTGGGAGCATTCCAGCATAGCCAGTTGCTCGCAATGCGGAACCCGTCAAATTCCGCAGTCCGCTTTCTCGTTGTTCTTCTCGACAGATTTTCTACATTTCAAGCAAGGCTCTCTCTTTTCCAAAGTTCTTCACTTCACCCCCTTCGTCACCTATCCTGTTCCCCCCTTGACTACCACACCGTTTCCGCGCCCTCCCCCCTCCCCCCCCCCTCCCCCTCCCCTCCCTCCCACCCGCCCTTTCACTCCTCCACCTTATCTTCTTTTGCAGATGTCTTCCCGTTGCTCACCGGTATCTCCGCGCCTCTCTGTCATCAATCTCTCCTTCAAAACCACCTGAATCATCAGCCTTACCACCATTGCTGAGACTCGGACTGTCAGACCGAACAAGAACAGCGCATAGACCAGCAGCATTGCTTGCAAGCTTCAAGCCGGACCTATCTCATCGACCTGACCTCAATCCTTTGCCAGCAGCTCGCATTTTTCCTCCTCTTACTCCATGCGAATCACCTGCAACGTGTGTAAAACAATTCCGGGTTCTTACCTCCTGGCGACCCACTCACCACACCTTTAAATCCCTCCCGTTAACATCTCGTGCCCCTCCTTTTCTCCACAATTCTCCATCATTTCCGTCATCCCTCTCATCCCACCGCCATTCTTCCTCTCTCCGATCCAAGGCTCACATGAAGGCTGTTGTTTTTGACGAGCCTGGAGGTGCGGAGGTCCTCCAGGTTCGGGAGGTTCCATTGCCCCAGGTTCGGGACGGGGAGGTGCTGATTCGTGTTGCTGCTACTGCATTGAACAGAGCCGATATCATGCAACGTCTGGGATCCTATCCTCCACCTAAAGGTCGGTGCTTACATGATCATTCCGCCCTGCATCATTACATTTACAGGTATGGTCACATGCATGGGTGCACAGAGTGATCACTGTTCTGTGGACGCACAAATCCATCTGCACGTATTATTTTGCTGTTTCTGTGTTCCGAAATAAAACTTTTTCCCCCTGTTAATTTCTCCTTTCAGGTGCGTCACCCATTCTTGGTCTCGAGTGCTCTGGAACCGTCGAGTTGGTTGGCCCTCATGTGACACGCTGGAAGGTCGGCGATCAGGTGAATGCATACCAACCGCTAAATCACCATCAGCTTTGTCCCCCAGCACGCCTGACTTAAGCTTGCTTTTCTTTTTTGTACTTTTCCTTTCCCTTGCTTAGGTCTGTGCACTGCTGGCTGGGGGTGGATATGCTGAATATGTATCAGTACCTGAGTCCCAGATTCTTCCAGTGCCAGATGGTGTGCCGCTTGTGGACGCTGCAGCACTGCCGGAGGTTGCATGCACGGTGTGGTCCACTGTCTTCATGATGGCAAAGCTGCGGCCTGGAGAGTCGTTTCTGGTGCATGGTGGATCCAGTGGTATTGGTACATTTGCCATTCAGTTGGTGAAGCTGCTTGGAAGTCGTGTCTTCTGTACTGCTGGTAAGCAACAAGCAATCAAGAATCCCTTGGGTGTTCAAGTGCTGGATCTAGCATGAAGCAAGATCCAGAGTGCTTGACATGGGTGGCCACGCCTGCAAGGTTGAGCAGACTAATTTTGTTTCCCCTTCTCTCGTCAGGCTCAACAGAGAAGCTGGATCGGTGCCGTCAACTAGGTGCGAACGTCACAATTAATTATCGAAAGGAGGATTTCTTGGCACGTGTCAAGGAAGAGACTGGAGGGAAAGGTAATGGTAGCTACGGTACCTTTTATATAAATCTGCAATGATGCTTTAGCAAGTCTGTCTTAAAACCTTATCAACCTCCACTTCTGCATTCGTTTTGTTACTTCGTGACTGTTAACAGGGGTAAATGTGATACTTGACAACATGGGCGCTTCCTATGTGGAGAAGAACCTTTCGTGTCTAGCAGAGGATGGCCGAATGGTCGTGATAGGACTTCAGGGTGGTCGCATTGGCAGTGTAGATCTAGGACGAATGTTGATGAAGCGGCTCTCCCTGCACTGTAAGGGTCTGCACTGCACTGCATATGGCTGTGGTGTGTTCTCTGCCTTGAATTATAATGGTACCATGTACCCTCTGCTTTGTGTTTCCAGCTGCAGGCCTAAGGTCTAGACCTCTGGGACAGAAGACAGAGATTGTGAGGGAAGTGGAGGCTAACGTTTGGCCACTCATCTCCTCTGGTCAACTGAAGCCCGTTATATTTCAGGAACTCTCCATGGCAGATTTGCAAGTTGCACATGCGTTGATGGAGTCGAGTGTTCACATTGGGAAAATAGTACTTATTCCGTGAATTTTGGTGGTGCCAACACAGGACACGCTGCTGGTGTGCAAAATATATGACTCCTCAAAAGGAGTGTTTATGGCCTTCTGGAGTTTCGGTATCAACTCGGGCTGTATTAATTGAAAATGGACCAGTCCTTCATGGTGGATCCTTTCTTGAGCGTTTTGATGAACGAGATGCTCCCTGCCATGGAACAGGTTAGACATTGTGCAGAAGGAAAAAATGGGGAGACGCATGTACCTCACCTGTGATCGAGAATAATTTGCTGTGGAAAATGCTGCAGCTGTGCCTTCAGATTGCTCATAACGGGGATGTGATGGGATCTGATATCACAAGGCAGCTTTCAGAATCCAGCACAAGTACCGTACCATTGACATGCATCCTCTCATCCCTGCTACCAACCCCCACTATTGACAGCCTGACTGCCATAGCACTTACTGACGCAGCAGAGTATGACAATGAAGGGCTGGCAGGCTTTGAAAGGGACCGGTGCTGTTCACAAATGCAACAACAGCCTGTTAGACTGTGCCAACCCTAAGTGGTAGTAAAAAAAAAAAGGCTGGGGGGAGGGGGGGGAAGAGGGGGGGGGGGGGAGAAGGGGAACGTACCTTCTTAAGCCGTCCAGTTACAGCTGAAGCAGAGCATTCTATGTCTTCAGTAGATGTGAATTTGAGACTTTGATTCAAACACCGCTCCTTCCAGACTGCCAGCTCACTCTTTGCCTGACATGGTGGAATGACATTGTCAGCTTCAATGAACACCATAAGCTAGCAGCAGATAGTCGTACCATTCTCAGCTTTTGAGCAAGTGCCTGAACTTGCGAACTATTAGAATCTTCTTGCTTTTCGTTGGCTGATTTCAGCAGTTCGACCTTTTCAAGCAGCTCATTCTGCAAAAAAATAGTGGTTGTGAGAAAAGATACTGAAGAAGGGGGCAACAGGCGGTGGTTGTGCCAGTACCTTCTAATTGCGCAGTCTTTTGGCAAGACTGCGCATTTGTATAAGAGTGTTCTCATGGTGTAACAACCTCTTATTCATCAGCTCCATTTCGTTTTGGTAAGCGCGACACTCGTCCAGTTCAGACTTGAGTTGATCTGTAACACCGCATTATGAGTGAGGGCAGACTTAGCTTGACGCTGCAATCTGCTTGCATAACATACCTGTTTCCTTTTTCAGTGTCGAGGTCTGCAACTCCATTTCGTTTTTATAAGCACGACACTCATCCAGTTCAGACTTGAGTTGATCTGTAACACGACATTATGAGAGGGCACACGTAGCTAAAAGCTGCAGTCTGCTTGCTTGCTTAACGTACCTGCTTCTTTTTTCAACGTCGAAGTCTGCAACTCCAGCTCAGCAATCTTCCTCTTCATTAATGCTGCTTTCTCATCCATCTTAAGCTTGGTGTCTTGATGGACTTTGAGGTCTTGATGGATCGATGTGCACGCAATTTTGTGCTCAGCCTTGGCCGTTTTAAGTTCTCTGCCCTTCAACGCAAGCTTCTGTTCCAGCATGGCATTGCAGAGCTCCAACTCAGAAAACTTGGTCTGCAAGTCCGCCAGCTTATTTTCCGATCGAAGCTTCGCCTCTTCATGGCATTTAATGTCTTGCAACATTAATGAGACCAGATTTTCATGTTCAGCATTAAGCCTCTCAAGTTCGGCCGCCTGCGATGAGAGGTTGTGCTTGAGCCTCACGTTACAAAGCTCCATCTCAGAAAAACTTGTCTGCGTCGATGCTGCTTTCTTCAGAAATTCTTGTACTGCTTCTTCGTGTTGCTTCAGGCATTGACTCATGGATGAGGCCAGCGACGTATGTTTGGCATTAAGCCTCTCGACCTCAGAATCTCGTGAAGAAAGGGTTGATTCGAGAAGCATAATTTGCTGTTGGCAGATGTTTAGTGACTTCTTTAGCTCCTGGTTTTG